TTACTGCACGAAGATTAACAGAATCTACAATCTAGTGTAGCTCGGTTACTTTTTATCGCAATTAATTAATTAATCCAGATTCTACAACTCACTTGCTCTTAGGTATAGCTGACGCAGGAAGTTAATGTATATATTGCGCCTTGGTTGTCAAGAGATGATATTTACTCCCTAAATGTCTATATTTCAATCATCAAGATTCAACCCTTAGATAAAGTTACGATCATGTAATTTTGGATGATGATTTACTTTATTTTATAAATGAAACGTAATTTAGTAAGTGAAAATTACTTTAAGATAATATATGCATCGATTGATTGTTTGAAAAGATCTTTTATGAGATGGGCTGTTGCCTTATAATTGACTACTTGTAATAACTTTAAAAGGATTTATAGGGCTATATATATAATTGAGAGAAAATTACTTATTGATTGGATATCTCTAAAATAGTAAGAAGAGTATCATTTTAAAATTATATTATTTTAATAAGTTTTTATTAAAAAATTAAAATAACTTATTTTCAAAATATGGATGTGATTGTTTTGGTATTTTTTTATAGTATTTTATTAAAAAAATATAATTTTTGAAGTATTTTTACTTTTAATTTTTTAGAGATCTTACTTATAAAAATTAATTTTGAAAATTAAATTCATGGTAAATTATTTATTTGAATAATACACTTTTTTTTTCTTAGAACCATATCTATTTTACAATTCAAATTGTAAAATATGAACTATTAAATGAAGGAGGGTCTTTAATATTAAAGGTGAAGCTCCTATATAATAGCTATGTTATGCAATATGATATAATTTAAATTATACAATACTTTTTTAAAGCACGAATGTGACTATTTTAATATTTTTTTGTAATACTTTATTAACAATATAGTTTTTAAAGTATTTTTACTCCTAATTTTTTAGAGATCCATCTAACAAAAATTAATTTCTAAAATTGAGTTCATGGTAAATTATTTATGTGGATAATTAATACATTTTTTATTTTTTTGGGAACTTTGTAACTATTAGATGAGGAGGGTTTTCAATATTAAGAGCACCCTCTCCTAGTCAATAATTAATGTTTTATAATTTGATATAATTTAAATTATATAATATTTTTTTATTTAATAAAATATAAAAGAATGGTTCGCTTTGTACTCACAAGTCACAACACAGCTCCTGTGACACACCCTTTTAAGTGGCAAGTTCAAGAAAAGAGGATTGTGATACGTGTATCATTTGAATTGGATTTATTTTCGTTTTCAAAGATTACTGCTAGTGCCACTACTACTACCTTTTTTTTTTTTTGGTAAAAATGAACTACTTGGTTCCAGCTATTTTTTGTTCTCTTTTGGGAGGGAGATGGTGATCGGGAGATCTCCCACTAGCTAGCTTGTGCAAGCGTGACATCTGAAGTGGACAC